ACAGGAGGCTCTGGGCAGTCCCAGAGCCAGGGGATGATGGTAAACAGCCTGAAGACCAGGCTTAGAGTCATGGGGGCAACAGCATAGGAGAAAAGCTGAGGGGAAGCCCCTGCAGGCCTGGACTGACTGCCTGAGCCCCCCCAAACCATCCTATCTCCTTGATTCTGTCAGGTCACTGGCCCACTCACAAGGCCAGGCAAAGGCCAGCACTGCCTTGGGCCTCAGGGGTCTTGCTGATTTTATTAGCCCAGAGGAGGAAGGGTTTTCCCCACCTTGAAGCCTGGGAGGCTGGAAGGAGCTTGGGTTTAAGGGTTGGGCTGAGGATCTGAGCTCACAGTCTTCAGGAAGCAAAGTGCTACCCAAACCTGACCTACTCAAAGGCCTGGAGCCCTGCCTGCTGGGCCTCCTTGCCCTGTACTTCAAGTGGCTATTGTATGGTCAACAGCCGTCCTTGAAAGTGGCATCTCTGGGGCAGGCGCACAGTGGTGGAGAGAGCAGGGAACACTGGATCGTTGTCCTTGGAGCTGCAGCAGCCATGGGTCACTGAGGGCTTCTCCTGGCCCCTGCTTCTCTCCAAACCATGGCCTTCAGGCTACCAGGTCTATCTGAGCTCTGAGCTTGACGGCAGCCTGCAAGGCCTGAAGGCGCAGCAAGCCCCACCCTCTAGTGCAAAGCTTATCTTATCTATGGGCCCTTCTGGAATAGAATAATAAACGTGACCAAAGGATGCAGGCAGGGGTGGTACCCCGTCCCTGAGCATCAGCCCCCAAGCATTCCCATTATCCTAACTAGGGGCAGATGACAGCAGGCTCTGTCCTTTCATGTTAGGACAGCTCTCATGAAACTGGTACTTTTAGGCCAGTGAGATGTCTCAGTGGCTAGAGGTGTTTGCTGCCATGCCTAATGACCTGAGTTTGATCACCGGAACCCATGTTGTGGTAGGAGGAGAGACCTAATGCCCAGTTGTCCTCACCTCCATTTGCTCTGGCCCCCACAAGGACACCTTGGTACTCTCCGCACAGCACAAAATAAATAAACGTAATAAAAAATAAAAACCTAGCCAGGGGAGCCAGGCGTGGTGGCGCTCGCCTTTAATCCCAGCACTTGGGAGGCAGAGGCAGGGGGGTCTCTTTGGGGTCAATGCCAACCCGGGCTTCAGAGGGGGGTTCCAGGCAGCTGGGGGTACAGGGGGGACCTGTCTCAAAAAGACCTAAATAAATAAATAAATAAAAATAAAAACCTGGTACTTCTCACTTCTCTTCAGTCCCCTTAGTAGGTAGCACTTTAGTCTCATTTTACTGATGGAGAATCTGGAGTTCCAAGAAGTGACCAGATGTCTGGAATAGCATAACATGTGGCTGACAAAGCCACATTTGAAGCGTGGCTGTTCCTTGTACAGCACCCTTTCCATGAACTCCGGATGGGATAGTGGGATGTAAGGCAGCTGCACGGGATGAACAGGAAGGAGGCAGGCAAGGCTGAGTTCTGCCCCAGGCAGGCACTAGTGGGAAGATTCCGAGGCCCAGCAAGGTGGGGGGAGAGTGGGGTGCTAACCTCGCCAGGTTCTGCAGCCAGAGAATTCTAAAGCTCCCGACACCAACCCCAGCTTTTCAGAGCGGGCATTTATAAAGGGAAGGGAGGGGACATGCTGATGATTCATGGAATTTGCAGCTGGAGTTAAATGAGAGCCTCGTAATGATGGTGATTAAAAATTAATGCTCCTGTTTGTGCAGCGATTTGGGTGTCCGCTCTGCACCAGCGAATTAATTAATAAAGGACAACACAAGTGTTCAGGGTGAGCTGCCTGGCACAGAAGCTGTCTGGGTAGATTCGGAGGGGTTATTCCTGGGTGGGGTCCCTGACCCCTTCCCCAGGGAATCTTCAGGGCTAGACTAGAGCTTGCTTCCACTTTCTGTCTTTGTATAGTGGGGTGCTGATCTCCCTTGGGACCCATGATGTAGTACAAACTGGAGGATGGGAAAGCTCCCCTTGGCCAGGCTCCCCAGGCTAAGAACTCGGAAGTCTTATGTAGCTCAGGCTGACCTATATAGCCAAGGATGACCTTGAATTTCTGATCTCCTCCTCTCCAGTGCTAAGATTACAGGCATGTGCCACCATACCCTGTTTTTATGATGTAGGGGACTGTGCCCAGGTCCTGGCCCAGGCTAGGTTAGCAGACTACCAACTGAGCTTACTGTTTGCTTACTTTTTGAGACAAGGCCTCAGACTGTAGCCAAGACTAGCCAGGAACTCACTATGTAGTCTAGACTGGTCTCAAACTCATAACAACCCTCCTGCCTCAGTTTCCTGATTGCTGGGCTTCCAGGTATGAATCGTCAGCTTCCTGTTTTTGGGGGGTGCTAGGAATCAAGCACAGGGTACCACATGTTAGGCAAGCTCTCTCTCATTGAGTCACATCCCCAGCCCTTTCTCTGACCTTCTGTTTGCTCATCCGTGAAAGGAGTGAGGTCTTCTGGAACTAAAAATCTCATGGAAAGGAATGATGCTGTCGCAGATGGCTGCTTGTGGGTAAGCGGAATACCACCCATTTATTCTCACATTCTCGAAATAAGAGGAGCAAAATCCAGATGCTAGCAGTGTCATGTCTCTCTAGAGCCTTGGGAGAGAGTCTGTCTTCTATCTCTAGGTCCTGCGATTTGGTGATTCAGACATACTGTGGTGGTTACGGCCCCACTCTCCACCTCCATCTTCATGTGGCCTTCTCTATCTCAGGGTCTGTGTGTCTCAAATCTCCCTCTCCCTTTGGCTTTCTGAGACAGAATATATATATATATATATATCCCAAGATGGTCTCAAACTCTCCTTCCTCCTGCTTCAGCTTCAGCTGTGTGTCACCATGCCCAGCTCCCTCTTCTAAGGACATTCAGTAATGGGGTTTGGGACTGGCCCTAATTCCAGAATGATAGCATCTTGAGACCCTTGACTTACTGACACCTGCATAGACCCTGCTTCCATAAGGTTGACTCCACAGTGGCTAGACTTGGACTTGGTAGGGGAGATAGCTCAGTCCACTTTAGAAGGGCTCTGAACAGGTAAGGCATCCTTGTGCTACCCCAACCAGAAGACCAGGGGGAGGGAGCCTATGCTTTGGCACCCGGGAGCATCTTTGCAGACCAGGCACATAGAAGGGAACCTTGACCTGGGAGCTGAGGAACTGGGGGCCAGGAGGGAGGAGTCTCAGCTGGGGGTCTGTTTAACACTTTGGGGCCATCAGGGTTCCAGAAAACACCTCAGGCCACATTCCTAGCACTTCAGCTATTATTTTCCTAATCACCCTCTACATAGCACCCTAGGGGCTTCCCCCCTCAGCCCACTCTCCGGGGTGCCTGTCCTCAACTCTGAGGAGCTTTGGGTGGGGAAGGGTGGGGGGGTGGGGGACAGGGTTCTGCTGTCTTCCTGATGAAAACCAACCCCCTAAAGGGGTGTAAGACTTCCTAGCACCCTTCTAGCCTGCAAATCCATCACAGTCCATCTCTTACCCTGGGAAACAAATCCCAGACTGTCCCTTCAGCCAAAACGTTTACCTTTTTGTGCCTCAGATCTTCTTACTACTGGTCCTTCTTCTAGAACATCTCTAGCCTCTTAGGACACACCATCTCTAGGACATGTCTTTGCTGTTATCACCTTCGAAACCACGTACCACTTTGGCATGTATGCACTTTGATTTCTACCTGTCCTACCAGCCCAGTGGGACTCTAAATGAACCTGTGGTGGCAGATGAGTGTCTTCCTGGGACCTAATCAATGCCTAAGGACAGGGTCAAGAGAAACAAGAGCTTCCTCCCCAGGGACCTCTAGTCCCCAGCCCCTGACAGCACTGGAGCCCTTCAGGGAGGATCCCAAGCTCGGGGAAAGCCGGCTGTGACAGCAAGCCCCGCCTCTGCTCCAGGTGTCTGTCTATCTCCCCAGCTGTTTTCTTTTCAGATCTGGAGTTCAAAAGAACAAATCTAGGTGTGACCGTCACAGGAAACAAAGCTGGCAGGCAGAATCGTGTCTGCACAGCCACAGGCCTGCAGGGTAGGGCTCGCCACTCCCTGCTGGGGCCCTGCACCAAGAAGATCACTCCAGTTCTGGTTCCATGAGCCTCAAAAACCTTTCTGGTTCGGTTCTAGAAACAGTGGCTTCCGGAGAGGCCAGAGACCAGTTTAGGGACCAGCATGGGGAAGGGGGCAGCCTGTTTTAATTAGAGTCTTAAAATGCTCCTCTGAAAGCTGTCTCAGATGTCCCCAGCCTCCCAGGGCAGGAGTGGCCTAAGAATAATAAAACAACATTTGCCTGGAGATTCAGTTTGCAAAGCACTTTCTCATGGGTGGGGAGGCACTGGGGTGGCCCCGCAGAGTCCTGATTGGGAGGCCACCCCCAACCTTGGGTTGATTCCATCCTCAGCCAAGCATGCAATTGTGAAGGCTTGCGGGGGTAAACAAAGCGCCCTTCATGAACCATTTCTGATTCCTCTGGCCTTGGTTCCTCTTGCCCTCTCCCAGGAAGAGATCTCTTGAAGTTTGTCACTGAGACCAGAAAAGAGGCTCAGAGGGCCCAGAGGGAGGAGCGGCTGAGACCTGATGGAGGCTGCTCCCTTCTGGCCCCAAGCTGTGGCCCCCTCCTTGTGGTTCTTGGAGTTCACCTGTGGCTATGTACTTATATTCACAATGGGAACACAGGTTTGGCCAAGGCTGTGTGTTTGGTAACATATAGAGATAAGCAGGTGTGTCTTTGTCAATCCCTCCCCACCAGAATGGGGATTATGTGAACAGTGTGGGGGAGTGGGGCCCTGGGGTGTCTACACCTGCATAGGTGGGAGGGCTGAGGTAGCTGTGGGGCCTCCCTGATATACCTAGCCAGAGTCACAAGTGGTCACCTGGTCACTTGGCATCGTGGGTGAGGGGGGCAGCATCAGGCAGGCTGTGGCCCCTTAAGGGCTGATGGCCTATATAGGACCCACCTGCAGGGGCTGTAGCAGATTGTAGCTGCCCTGGTGGGAGCCAGAAGATGCAGGAGATCATTGCTGGGCTGGAGCGGTTCACCTTCGACTTTGAGCAGGATGTGGAGTTGCAGAGGGGCACTGGGCTCCTGCCTTTCCAAGGCATGGACAGTGAGTGGCGATGGCAGGGTCTGGTCTGCAGGCCTCCCTGCCCGGGTCCTTGAGGGCCTGCCCTTTCCCTCTGTCCTCTCTCCTACATGGCTTCTGGGTATTTCACTGCCCAGGCTGAGAAAGATTTGAGAGCTGCTCGCTCCCTGGCTGCTCCTGAGCCTTCTGCCTCCTGTTTCAGAGTTGGGGTTAGTTTAAACTGGGTTAGAAGTTGGCTCAGAAAGGTTGGGGAAGGGGTTTAGGAGGTGGTACCCTGCCTTTGATCCACAACCTGCACAGCAGGGGTCACACACGGTAGTTGCTTTCGGTAGCAAAGACTTTGGCCAGCAAGGCCAGCACTCAAAAGGTTGAGGCAGGTGGACTGCAATGAGTTCTGGGCTAACCTGGTCTACAGAGTGAGACCCTCTGAAAACAAAAGAACTGACAAACAGCAACAAATCAAGCATATAACCAAAGGCTGTAGAAAGTACTTGGGGGCTCCAAAGATCTAAGTGTGGAGGCAGCTTGGGTGGAGGGGGGGTGAGGTCCCCCAGGCAGTGATGTCAGCTCTGGGGAAACCATTTTATCCCCTTCCTTCCCCTCCAGAGTCCAGCTCTGCCGTGTGCAACTTCTTTGCAAAAGGGCTCTGTGAGAAAGGTGAGTGGGGCAGAGCAGGGCTGGGCTGGGCAGGAACTGGGATATGTGCACCATGTGGGCTCAGCAGAGGCCTGAGATAGGGTTGGGATTGCTTTCTGGGGAGGGTAGTGACCTGTGGGTGGCTCGCCAAGCATCCCACCCTCTGGCATTGGATCAGGGATCAGGCTGCCTGGAAGGAGATGTTCCCTTCATGGTGGGGGTGGGAGTGGGGGTGGAACGGGTCATGACCTTTGGCTCGAGTGTTCTCTGGAGGCTTCTGGCTTCCTATTCTCTCCTCCCTCCCAGCCAGGAGTGGCTCTCTGAATCAACATATGGAAACTGGCCAATTGTCCCAGGCATTCCTTAGGTAGCTGTGGAACAGTCTCCCACCTTGTTGCTGTTTTTATTGTTTGAGCATTTCATACATGCAAATAATGCATTTTGGTCAAATCTCACCCCCTTCCCCTCCTCTTCACTAACCCACCACTACTTTTCCGTCCAAACTTCCTGTGCCCATTTTTTTTTTAAGCCCACTGAGTTAGCCTGGTGCTGCCTGCCTGTGCATGGGTATACGACCATCTACTGGAGCATGGTTGGCCTCTGAGGGGCCACATCTCTGAAGAAAACTGACTCTCCCTCAGCCAGCATCCATCACTTGCCAATAGTTCCACAGCTAGGGGTGGGAGTCCAGGTCTCACTAAATCCATGTTAGCTTAGAACTCCAAGACTCTCCTGCCTCAGCTTCTGAGTGCCTAATGACCTGGTTGGCCACAGTCTTTAAATGGTACTCAAAACAGAGAGTACTGCTGGGGACTGTGGCTCAGACGTAGCCTCCTCCCAAGTCACTCCTTCAAATGCAGCCTCGCTTACCCCAGGCTTCTGAACTTTTCTTGACGTTCTTATAGAAACCCATGGTTGCCAAAATACCTTACCTCCAACTCCAGAGCTTCCTGCCCCCATAAAACCTGCCTTTGGGTCCAGATGAAGAGATCCTTAGGGCCTGCCTTAGGGATCCTTGTTATCATGTCCCTAGAAGCCAGAAGACTAGAGGCAGGGCAGGAGGAATGGGATGAGTCTTGAAGTCAGTCACGGTTGGGTGAGAAGGGAAGTTTCCTGGCCACCCAGGGCTCTGTGCAGCCTGAACCCTCCAGGTCCATCAAGGACTGAATGAGCTGGGGCTCAGAGTGACACCTTCTTTCTTTTTTTGGTCTTTTTGAGACAAGGTCTCCCTGTAGCCCCAGCTGACCTGGCACTTACTATGTAGACAAGGAGAGATCCACCTGCCTCTCCCTCTGCTGGGATTAAAGGCGAGCACCACCACACCCGGCCTGACACCCTCTTTTTTACAAAGAAAGAAAGTTGCTATTAGGGAAGGTCACATCACCAGGGATGGCCAGGGGTGAGAGAGGGAAGGGGACTTGGAAAGGACATCCTGCCTACACCCCAGGTTCTACCCCAGAACAGGCCATGCATGAGGCAAGTCCTGCAGACCCTGAAACAGTCAAATATAACTTCTAGCTCCTGTTACAAAGTCGACTATTTCATTGCTATATTTATTCTCTGGAATTAGGAAGCTTAATATTTAAAGTCATGAACCTGGGCTGAGGGTGTAGCTCAGTGGGTAGAGTGCTTGTCTAGCACATATGAAGCCTTTTTGGATTTAATCCCCATTACTCGTGTAAACTGAGCCTGGTGGGTGGCACATGCCTGTAATCTCAGCACTCAGAGGTAGAGGCAGGAAGTTAAGAAAGTCAAGCTCGGGGCTGGAGAGATGGCTCAGCGGTTGAGAGCACTGACTGCTCTTGCAGAGGACCCGGCTTTGATTCCCAGCATCCACATGGTGGCTACGAACCATCCTTAACTTCAGTTCCAGGGGAATCCGAAGCCCTCTTCTGACCTCCACAGCATTGCGTGACACAGGTGCACTCACATACATGCAGACAATACACTCATACGCATAACATAAAAATAATAAATAATATATTTTTTTAAAAAAAGAAATTCAAGGTCACCAGGCATGGTGGCCTACACCTGTAATTCCAGCACTTGGGAGGCCAAAATAGACAGATCTCTGTGAGATCAAGGCCAGCCTGGTCTACATAGTGAGTTCCAGGCCACTTAAGGCCATGGAGAGAACCTGCCTTAAAAAAATAACAAAAAACAAAAGCAAGCCAACAACAACACTAAAAAACAGACAGACAAACAAACAAAACATAGTTGTGGCTTATGACTTTAGTCCCAGCACTTGGAAGGCAGAGGCAGGGGGATCTCTGTGAGTTCAAGGCCAGCCTGGTCTATATAGCAAGTTCCAGGTCATCTGGGGCTACAGGGAGACTCTTGTCTCAAAAACAACAACAAACAAACAAACAAACAAACAACCCCCCCCAAAAAACAAAAAATAAATTGAAAGTCATTCTTAGGGATATGATGAGTCTGAGACCAGCCTGGGCTACAGGAGAGCCTGTTTCAAAAAACAAAACAGGGGCTAGAGAGATAGTTCAGCATTAAAGCACTGGCTGCTCTTGCAGAGGATCTGGGTTCAGTCCCAGCACCCACATAGAAGCTAACAATAGCCTGTAACTCCAGTTCCCAAAGATCTGATGCCCTCTTCTGGCCTCTGTGGACACTGGACACTTATGGTACACTTACATACATACAGACCAAAGCACTCATGCACATTAAAAATTAGTAATTTTAGCTGGGTGTGGTGGCACACGCCTGTAGTCCCAGCACTTGGGAGGCAGAGGCAGGCGGATCTCTGTGAGTTCAAGGCCAACCTGGTCTACATAGTGAGCTCCAGGACAGCTGGGGCTATAGAGAAAACCTGTTTCAAAAAAACAGAAAAAAAAAAAAAAAAAAAAACCCACAGCCATTCTAGGCTACACAGTGAGTTTATGGCCAACCTGGGCTACATGAGACCATATCTTGAAAGACTAAATAAATAGTTCTAAAGCTGTAAACTTGATAAGAAATAAAAACCAATAAAAATATTTTTAAAAAACCAAGATGGGAGCTGGAGAGATGGCTCAGTGGTTAAGAGCACTGACTGCTCTTGCAGAGGACCCAGGTTCGATTCCCAGCACCCACATGGCGGCTATGAACCATCCTTAACTCCTGTTCCAGGGGAATCCGAAGCCCTCTTCTGACCTCCGCAGCATTGCACGACACGGGTGCACTCACATACATGCAGGCAATACAGTCATACACATAAAATAAAAAATAATAAATAAAAATTTAAAAAGCCAGGATAAAATGAACAGTAACAGATCCCACCAACACTACCACTACTACCATCCCACAAAAAAAATCATGAACTTGATAGGCCTTCGCTTATATGTACACCAGGGGTTGGGTTGGGTGTGGTCCAGGACTGCTCTCTGATAGGACAGGGGCTCTCTGATGTTAGGGGCTGTGGAGGAGGCAGCCTGGACGTTCCTGAGGTTTGACTGTGGGAGAGGGTCCTGCGTGGAAGTGGGAAGGGGTGTCTGCTAAGACATTGTCTTGGCCTGTGTGGTTCCCTGACCCCTGTTCTAGTCTGGGTCTGGGTGATGGGACTTAGGGCAGTGGGGTGGGAGGGTGAGCAGGCCTCATAGGCCCTGGAGAGCTCCAGGCCAGGTGGGGCCTCCAGTGGGCGCTGTGGTCTGCAGGGTCACTCTGCCCGCTCCGGCATGAGCAGGGCGAGAAGAGGGTGGTGTGCAAACACTGGCTTCGAGGGCTCTGCAGGAAGGGCGACTGCTGCAACTTCCTGCACCAGTATGATGTCAGCAGGATGCCCGTGTGCTACTTCCACTCCAAGTTCGGTAATGCTCTGCCTGGTCCGTGGGAACCTGGGAGGTTTTGGGGTCGAGGGTATGAAAAGGAAGCCAGGTGTATCCCTGAAGGCGAGCTAGAGTTGACTGAGCCTGAGTTGCCTGTTCCTCTGACCCCTAAGAAAGTAAGACCAAAGCATGATGGTGCGTACCTCTAATCTCAGCACTTGGGAGCCTAAGGCAAGAAAATCAGGAGTTCAAGGCCAGCCTTAGCTACATAGGAAGTTCAAGGGTATCTTAGACAGACTATGTGAGACCCTGTCTCAAAACAAAACAAAACAAAACAAAAAAACAAAATAAAAAGTAAAAATACAAAGGAAATAGGAATCTGCCATCTGTTAGGCTCAGGGCCCCAGTTATCCTAAAAAGAAAGAAATGTTTCCTATTCCAGATCTGGCTAATCCACACCCAGATGACCCTTGAATGGGTCACCTCTCAGTCCCTACTGGGACTGAGAGTTCCCTTACCCACAAGGCACCTACACCACTTTCCTCTTTCAGCTGTCCTGCTATTTCTAACTTTTATTTAGACAAAATTTTTGTGTTGCTTCCATAAGTGGAAACATTGCATCATGCGTTGGAAAGAGAAGGTAACTGTGTATATAACACTTTAGAAGTCAGGTCCCTAAAATTATCTTGTGTGGTCAGGTCTGCCCAGTGTCTGCCTCTCTTGGGGCCTCAAGGTCCTTCTTTCATCACTCAAAGGGGTATTTAGGGACAGCTGAAATCACCTTCCCCCTCGCTGAAGGATGGAGTCTGTAAATTTGCCTCAGGCCTCTTTCCAGGCAACACTTTGTACACCTCAGTGCTTTGCAGAGATCCAAGGGGCTGGGAATTATCTAGTCTGGTGGTTTCCGAACTAGGGAGCAAGGAGGGGCGCCTCCTGGGAGGATCTCCAGGGCCACCCCTCATTCAGGAGACTCGGGGCAACCTTCAGAATACTCCCTACTGATGGGAGGGTCCTGGGTACCATGAAGGAGGCAAAGCATCTCACAGGGCAGGGAAAGTTCCACCCAGTCTTCCAGTCCAGCATTCCAGTCTGTCTGCTCCTGGGAGCCAAGGCCTGGGCAGGGCATGAGGGCTGCCCACATACCTTTCTAGAGTGAAAGGACTAAGTTTATCTGAACATTTTCACTTAGAAACGCCGCTGTATTTCCTCAACCCTTGATTGGTTGTTTTGGGGATCCATGTCTGCATACAGGAATGTGACCACTTTTGTCCTCAAAGAAGTGATTGTTGTGTGGTAGATGTGCACACGCATGAGTATGGAACCTATGGTTTTGTCCTTACAGTGAATAAATATCTCTAACACCATAGGAAATAATTGTTCTTATGCCTAGCATGGTGATGCTGGTAATCCTAGTGTTTTGGAGACTGAGGAAGGAAGATTGATTGCAAATCCAGAAACTTCCTAGGTTACATGTCCAGATTTAGATATATGTTGGCTCTTGGATATAAATTTTTGTATTTTAAAAAATAAGCAGGGTGTGGTGACGCACACCTGTAGTCCCAGCACTTGGGAGGCAGAAGCAGGCAGATCTCTGTGAGTTCAAGCCCACCCTGGTCTACGTAATGAGTTCCAGGAGCTGGGGCTACAGGGAGACCCTGTCTCAAAAAGACCAAAATAAATAAATAAATAAATAAATAAATAAATAAATAATGTTGGAGAGAGGGCTCAGCGGTTAAGAGCTCTGACTGCTCTTGCAAGGACCCAGGTTTGATTCCCAGCACCCACATGGTGGCTACGAACTGTCCTTAACTCCAGTTAAGGGGAATCTGAAGCCCTCTTCTGACCTCCTGACCTCCGTGGCATTGCACGGGTGCACTCACATACATGCAGGCAATACATTCATACACATAAAATAAAAATAATAAAATTTTTAAAAAATGTTGAAGCCTGGCATGTGCCTTTAATCCCAGCACTTGGGAAGCAGAGGAAGGTGGATCTCTCTGAGTTCAAGGCCAGCCTGGTCTACATAGTGAGATCCAGGCCAGCTGGGGCTATGGAGACACCCTGTCTCAAAAAGACCAAAAAAAGAGAAAATACATTGTTGAGCTGGCTGCAAGTGATCTTGGAAGATATTACAGTATATGAGATGTTGTAGACATCAACTAACTGAAATAGCAACTGTTGCGGGGTTGGGGAGTCGGGGAGGTGGGTGTCAATGGCTCTTTAAGTAATTCCCTGCCCATGCTCTGTAAGTAAACTCAACAACATTGTCACACACACACACACACACACACACACACACACACACACACTCCTTGACCATGCTCTTTAAGTAAACCCCAACAACACTGTCTCACTCATTCACTCACACACTCACATACTCACTTATTCACACACTCACTCACTCACACACTCACTCACTCATACACTCACGCATACACTCACGCACACACACTCACACACACGTGCACACACTCACACACTCACAGACACACACTCACACAGACTCACACACACAGACACACTCACACAGTCACTCACTCACTCACTCACTCACTCACCCCTTTGAGGAGCCTGAAAGGGCATTTGGCTCTTAGTCTTCCCCTGGTTCCCGTAGTGGCCAACGTGAAAGGCAGAGTGGTGGCTAAGCTGTTGCTGCCACCTGCTGGCCAGAAGTGGATGCAGCCATATGCATCTAAGATGGACAGGTGTCCACCAGCCACCAACCTAGAGGTGCTCCCCCATCTCCATCCATCAAATGTTGACCAGCCTTAGGAGCTGAGGTGAGGTCATTTTGAGTCCTTAAGAGGCTCAAACCCAGAAGATATCTACCACGTGCAGTTTGCTGACAAGGAAATCCTTGTCAACCCTTGATTATCTGGTTTGGGGATAAGGCCTCCACCCAGATGAAGACACAGAGTGAAAACGCATGCCATACTGCCCTTCTCTGAGCACTGAGTGAACACAGATGACAGATGCCATACTGCCCCTCTCTGAGCGCTGGCATCTATGCTTGTGAAATGTGCATGCCATACTGCCCTTCTCTGAGCACTGAGTGAACACAGATGCCATACTGCCCCTCTCTGAGCGCTGGCATCTATGCTTGTGAAATGGGAGGGCCAGGAAGGGGCAGCAGTTCAGAAATCTGGGGATTCAGGAAAACGCTTCTGCAGGTTAGCCTGGACTTGAGAAAACTCTAAGGCTGGACGTGGTGACTCACACCTGTAATCCCAGCACTTGGGAGGCGGAGGCAGGTGGATCTGTGAGATGGAGGCCAGCCTGGTCTACATAATGAGTTCCAGGACGCCTGGGGCTGCAGGGAGACCTTGTATCAAAAAGACCAAAAAACCCCCACCTCTCTGGAGCCATTTCCAAAGTGATGGAATTGCCCAGATGAAGTCCTTCTAGCACCAAAAGCACCAACTCATATAGGGTGAGAGTGGAAACATTCACGGATTCCCTACTGAAAGGAGGCGGAACTGGGCTGACTCTGCCTCCTTGCTTCTTCAGATCATCCTACGTGAAACCCGAGAGGCTCATCCAGCCGGTGCAGTCAGCCTGCGCCTGCAGCGTTCGTTGCCTCCTTGCAGAAAAGCAGATGAACACAACCTGGTCTAACCTGTAACTAACAGCCCAGGCTCAGCCAAAGCTGTCCCTAAGAAAGGTGCCCATCGGAAGCTGCACCACCTCCCTGAGCTATAGAAGCAGTGGAGGTTTTATAGTGGAGGTGCAACTTCCTCACACAGTGGGGGAGGTCTCTCTTGGCTCTCTGTCTATGTCTCCTCCTCCTTCCTGCCTTCTAGAAGGCTTCAGTTCTTTCCAGAATCTGGCCTTCCAGCCTCTTCCAAGTGTGTGTGTTCACACCCATGCCCTGCTTAGCATCTCTTTAAATTTTTTATTTTTGCATTTATTTATTTGTGTATATGTATGCATGCATGTATGTATGTATGTATGTATATGTATGTGTGAGGGCATGCATGTGCCACAGTTTGCATGTGGAGGAGAGAGGACAACTTGTGGGAGTTGGCTCTCTCCTTCCACTCTGTTAGTCCCTGGGGTGGAACTCAGGCACCTTTACCTCCTGAGCCATCTGACTAGCCCCTGCTTAGCATCTTATTGGGTCTGCCCTTCTTAGACAGCAAGAAGGACTAGAGATCATTTGCTGTCTTCCAAAGGCTAGTGATACCCTGAAGAAAGGCCAGTGGCTTACATGGGGGTGAGGGTCAGGGCCAATCAGAGTGGGGATGTACAAGTGGTCATAAACACGTGCCTGTTTACATACAAAGAACACTGGGTTTTTCAGGTGACTGCGGCAACAAGGAGTGTCCCTTCCTCCACGTGACGCCGGCTTCCAAGATCCAGGACTGCCCTTGGTATGACCAAGGATTCTGCAAGGATGGTGAGGGCTTGTATTCCCCAGGAGGCTTTGTGCCACATGGACACCTCAACAGAAAGTCTTTGTGGTTGCCTGACTTGTGTTCCAGCGCAGTAGAGAGAATACTGAGCCTGATGTGGGGCACAGCAAGCTTCCCAGGGAAGGCCGACGGGTTCCCACCCTACCTTCAGCACTGATCGGCTACAGGACTGATATATCACTTAACCATGGGAAGCCTGGCAGAGGGTCTGGCCCGTGAGAGACAATATTCTCACCTCCTGAGAGCTGACTGCCACTTGAGTTCCACTTTTTTTTTTGGATCTTTTTGAGACAGGGTCTCCCTGTAGCCCCAGCTGTCCTGGAACTCACTATGTAGACCAGGCTGGCCTTGAACTCACAGAGATCCACCTGCCTCTGCCTCCCGAGTGCTGGGATTAAAGGTGTGCACTACCACATACATAGAAGAAGCATTTCATCACAACAGCATTGACATATTCAATAACAATCTCCTGAGCTAAGATGCATCTCTTTCAAAATTGGCTGTAAATTTTTAGGTTTACAGTTGAATTATTACAGTTATGTAATATTGTACTCAGTATAAAGTCCTACTCTTAATGCTGCTGCCAGCCAAACTTGGGGATAGGGTCCCCATCCGGGTCACTGGGCCCCACATGGCATATGCCTCCTCCTGTGTGGTTCTTCCTGAGGTCTTAGCACTGCTTAGGAGGACCTGATGGGGAAAGAGTGCTAAGCTTTGTCTCAGCTGCCCCTTCTTTGAGTTGGGGGAGGGCAGTGCTGCAGAGGGAGCCTGGGCCCTTGAACATGCTGAGCATGTGCTCCATCACTGAGCCATATCCCAGCCCTGAGCCAAGGTTCCTGCCCTTCTCGGTCTTCTGGCTAGAAATGGGGGCTTCAGGGAGTGTAGAAAGAACAGGGAGGTTTATAGACCCTGCTTTTTCCCCATGGGCTATTTCATGTGTATTTCCCCCACTGAGTAAAGCAGATCCTTTTGGCCCTTTGCTTTTTGCCCAGCAGGTCCCCTGTGTAAGTACCGCCATGTCCGACAAGTAATGTGTCTCAACTACTTCACCGGCTTCTGTCCACAGGGACCTAAGTGCCAATTTGCCCAGTGAGTATAATCCTTCCATTTCCTAACCCACCAGAGTGCTAGGCGCGATCATCTGGATCTAGACCCTTCTGTTCTTCCCTGGCCCTCAGAGGGAGATCAGCAAATGTTTGTTGGCCTGTTTTCCTTTCATCATCTGCCCCCATCCTGGAGGTCTGGGTGCCGTTGGCTCTGTGGACTGTGGCCTGCCTTCTTAACATGCACTCACAAAGGGACAGGCGTGTACCACGCTGTTCCAGAAATGGGTAGAAACATTTCATTCGGCTCCCCTAGTCTCTCTGCAGTTCCTCACTGCGCTCCCTGGCTAGGGCGAGCGCTACTTCCCCAAGGGCTCAGGGATGGGACTCTGTAGCAGGCTGGTGCTGTGCATGCTAATGAGCAAGGAATGTGAGTCTAGAGCAGACTCTAACTCTCTCAGCCTCTCTCTCAATCTCTCTCTCTCCTCTCCCCGCCCCCAGTCCCAAGAGGAATGTTGTATTTTACCAGAGTGGTGTGAAGGTAAGGGCAGCAGGTGGGGTGCCCATGTGGTGTTCCCCTCATTTCACTCACACCTGTCTCTGCCCCCCAAAACTGCACGCTTCCCAGGAGACCCCAGTCTCTTTCGAAGTCTGCTGAGTCCTGATCCTGTAAAAGGCACGTGTGGTCATGTGTGCGGACCTGCACAGTGGTTCCTTTCCAGGCTCTTCCTACCCTCTGTCATCTCTGCACTGGGTAGGGCTCCTCAATGTATCAACGCAAGACTCTCCTTTTCTTTTTTTAAAAAATATTTTTATTTTGTGCATGAATGTTTTGCCTACACGTATGTAAATGCACTCATGTCATGCAAAGTCTGCAGAGGCCAGAAGAGGGTGTCAGATCTCCTGGAACTGGAGTTATTAGCCACCATGTGGGTGCTGGGACTAGAACCCCAGTCCTCTGCAAGAGCAGCCAGTGCTCTTGACCACTAAGCCATCTCTCCAGCCACTATTTTTTTGGGGGGAGATGTGGTGTTTGTGCAGTACATGTATGTGCACATGTATTGATGTTAAGTGTCTTCCTAAGTTGCTTTATTTTATTTATTTATTTATTTATTTATTTATTTATTTATTTATTTATTTATTTATTTATTTTTTGCGTCATTTTGAGACAGGGTCTCCCTGTTAAAGACAAGGTCTCTCTGTCACCCCAGCTGGCCTGGAACTCACTATGTAGACCTGGCTGACCTTGATCTCACAGAGATGCACTGGCTGGGACTAAAAACATTTGCCATCAAGCCTGGCCCTCCACCTTATTTTTTGAGACAGCTCTCTTAATGACCCTGGAGCCCACAGATGAGGCTAGATTGGCTGAGTAGCAGGCTCCAGGGATCCTCCTGTCTCTGCCTCCCAGAGCTGGAATTGCAGGCATTTAATAAGGTATCTGACTTTTTATGTGGGTTCTGGGTATCCAAACTTAGGTCCTCATGCTTGTTTGGCAAGCACTTTACTGACATGCCATCTCCTCAGCCTGGCAGCCTACTGAATCTGAGATGTTAACACTTCGTTCTTCAACTGATAAGTTTGTTGTCTCCTAGTCTAGGTGACTGAGTGTTGGAATGCCATTTAAGGTTGACAGAGGCCAAAAAGATGTACCGGGGAGCAGGTAGTGGCTGGCCCTTTGGGAAGGCTGGTGTGCCTTCCCGCTGGCTCCAAGTCAGACCCTTGATGGAAGGTGGAACCAATCTGTAATGGCTGGGGTGTGAGCCCCTTACAGCTTCCTTGAAAAGCATGCTTTGTGCAAATAAAAGCATAAAGAGCAGTTGGGATGTGGAAGCGGGAGGATCAAGAACTCAGGGCCATCCTTGGCTACATCTTGAATTTGAGGCCAGCAAGGGCTACATGAAAGACTGTCTCAAAATTAAAATAACAATCCCCGCCTAACAACAATAACTACCAAAAAAAACCACCCTATAAATAAAGATGCGTCCAGTGGCCATGTTGGCAGTCTCTGCAGCTCGGTCTCCTTATGACTTCACTCTACAGCTTGTCAACAGGCTTCAGGATTCTGCGACTCCAGCCTCTGTTGCCTACGTGGCCCACCACCATAGGAGGCGCAGCAGTGTGTATCCTGCCTGCAGCTGAGAGCCTGGTCCGCACCACAGGTGAGGGAGGGAGCAGGCAGGGCAGAGAGGACAGGCTGGTCTGCTGAGAGCAGGTGAGGGCTGGACAGATAGTTGGAGACCATGACGCATATCGACAGCAGGAGAGAGCGTATGCAGGGGTTTGGGGGTGTGGACTGAGAGAACGGAGGGCCTGGTGGTGGTACATGCCTGTAGTCCCAGCACTTGGGAGGCAGAGGCTGGAGGACTGCTGCAAGCTTGAGGCCCGCTGCATCGACATAGTGAGCTTCAAACCAGCCCGGAGCTGTTGCAAAAAAACAAAAACAAACAAACAAAAACAAACAAACAAACAAACAAACCCCAAAACAACAGAAAACAGAGAATTGGGATTTTAATATGCTAAATATTACTGCATGTATGCCTGTAATCTTAGCACTCAAAAGGTAGAGGCAGGAGCATCAGAAGTTCAGGGGCATCCTTGGCTATTGTAGAGTTTGAGGTTAGCCTGGGCTACATGAGAGCCTGTCTGGAAAAAAAAAAAAAGTTATACCAGTATGCCAGCCAGGTAAGAGGGCAGAACCCTTGAAATTTTCTTCTTGTACATTTGACTCTACAGGCCTTCACAAGTCCGGAGTCTTGTTCTTTGTGATGGGTGATGAGGGGTGGGGTGGGGTGGGTGGGTTTTAATCTCAAGGATCTCTTTTATGTCCAGATCTACTATTTTCCCAGGCTGGTCTCAAACTGCTGTACTCAAGTGGTCCTCCCATCTCAGCCTCCTGATCAAGGTCCTTTTAGGCTGGAGAAGCCAATCAATTCTAGACAAGCTGCATGTTTCTCTGGAGCTAGGAATTTAAAAGAAGGCATGCCCTTAACTTTTTCTCTTTTAGTGTCCAAACCCAGGCCACTCTACCAGTGAGGTAAACTACAAGTTGGCATCATCAAAGCAGCCCATCGTAAAGAAACTGGACACTCTCCTAGTTCCATGGCCTTGCCACAGACAGGGCTCTGTGCCCAGTGTGCCAATGGGCCCTGTCAGTGTAACAGGATGCAGAAGCAGACAGCTGTGTGTGGCTGATTTACATTTATCTTGTAAGTGAATCAGCTGCTAAAAATACAACAGGACCAGAGGCCTCTGACTGTGGGAGGGAGAAGTTATCAGATGAACCAACCAGGGGAGCGAGTGCAAGTAAAGCCAGAGCTTGACAGAAGGTAATTCAGTGCCCTTGCTCCTGCAGAGGGCTCTGGGTCTCTCCCACATGGCAGTGCTCCCACACAGGACCTCAAGTGTTCCCCAAACTGGCAATGAAATCCAACGGTTGCTTTTAGCTTGAGAGCTGCTTCCCCGTATGGCTTGTTTAAATGTGAGAATATATTCTATGCCTTATGTTATTGCTTTAACAAATCAACTGACAAAAGCAGCTAAGGGCGAGTTTCTTTTGGCTCATGGTTTGAGGGGATGCAGTCCATCATGGCTGGGATGGTGTGGTGGCAGTGTGAAGGGGATGGCCACATTGAACCCAGCCAGGAAACAGACAAGTGCTGGTGATCAGCTTCTTTCCTCCCTCCCCTTTTTATTCAGTCTGGGACTCCTGGCTCAGAGAGGGTGGTGCTCACATTCAGGGCACGTCTTCCTTCAGTTAAACCTCTCTGGAAACATCTTCACAGATACACTCAGATGTGTGTCTCCTAGGTGACTCCAAATCCAGCTCACAATGAAGATTAACCATCACAGAGGTATTTGGCCTATCCTCGTGAGGGAAGGCCATGAGCAGGACAGTACTGCAATCTACAGGTATATGCATCATTTAATCCACTGGGAAGGAGGAGGCAGCTAAGTGGACTTTTGTAGGAATAGAGAAAAAGCATGACAAGAGCAGCCTGTGGGAGGAGTAGGTGGTACTCTGCTACATGACCTTCTGCACAAGGTCTGGGCAATGCAGAATACAGGCCCAGGGGTTGGGTCTAAATGCCAGTTCCTGTCACCTTGGGCTGCTATGTGACAACAGCTTCTAGCCATGTAGGCCAACTGTCTAACCAACTCAAGCCTGCTTCCTCATTCTGGAACATAAGCACAGGGTTGTTGTACAGGTGAGATGAGCAGTACTCGTCCAAGAACACTCTCTGCAGGACACCTGGCCAGCACACGCCCAAATGATAGCCGGACCAAGTATGGATGGCTGTGGAGCCTCCCCTGGGCTTGAGAACAGCTGCTCTCAATGAGTGTCCACTAGTCATTCCTCCATGATGGAATGGACAGGCACACCCTGCTCTACAAGGTTTACAGTCTAGACAAAGGAGGCTCTGGAAGTCTAGACAACCTGCCCCATGGTGCAACTACCCACTTCACTGAGGTTATGGAAGAGGCCAATGCTTGGCTCAGCATATTTCTTAGTTTTAAAGACTATTCCTGGCTGGGCATGGTGGCATATATTAATCCCAGTCCTTGGGAGGCAGACGCAGGTGGATCTCTGTGAGCTCAAGGCCAGCGTGGTCAACATAGTGAGTTCCAAGCCAGCTGGGGTTACAGGGAGACCCTGTCTCAAAAAGACCAAAAAGCAAACCAATATGCCTTCAATGAAGTCCCTTCTTGAGTACCTGCCTAGACTTCCTTCAATGATGGACTGTGACCTGGAATTACAGGAAAAAAAATGGGGTTACAGGGACCCTTTCTAAAAAAAACCAAAAAAAAAAAAAAAAAAAGATATAATTATGATGAGTGTTGACAATAATACGTGATTTTTTTTCCATTAAGCATAGAATAGCCTGCACATAATATGACTTTTTGATCATCATGTTTTTTCTTGAGACAGGGTCTTATGTAGTCCAGGCTACCCTCAAACTCACTATACAGGTGAGAATGACCTTGAACTCTCCATCCTCTTGCCTCTAACTCCCGAGTGCTGGTTCCATGCCCAGCTCATCTGTACTTTTTTGTGGTGCTGGGGAACTAAACCCATAGCTGCTTGAATGCCAAGCATGTACCCTACCCCTCAGCTACACCAACCCCGAAAGTGACTTTTATTTTAGAGACAAGGTCTTATTATGTAGTCCAGCCTGTCTTTAAATCTGTGATCCTCCTGTCTCAGCCTCCCAAGTACTGGGATTACAAATGTGCAAATGTATGGCTCAAAGATTTAGCTCTGATTTTGTCTTTGTAGCGCAGGGAACACAGCCAGGACCTCAAGCATGCTAGGCAAGTGCTACCTCAGACCTATATTTATGCCCTCGAACATTTTTTTAATTACATTTTATTTATTCATTTGCTCTCTTTCTGTCTCTGTGGAGGGAAGGTAAAGTATGTATGTCATGGTGTTCATCTGAGGACAACATGTGGGAGTTGGTTCTTTTCCTCCACTGATTGGGTCCTGGGAATCAAATTCAGGTTGTTCAGATTAGGGCAAGAGCTTTTCTATTTAATGACTAAATATTTTAGTGTTATTAGACAATGTCTAGTTTCCCTGTACACTTGACTGCTGGTGTTACAGGTCTGTATCACCACACCAGGGTGAGCTAAACTGTTGATACTGACCATGTCAAGTCAAGACTTGACCTCACCTTCATCCTAAACCTTTTAGGACCAATGACTCATTAAATGGATCCTTGTAGGACCAATGGATCAATAGTAGCACCTGTCATAATCAGAATGCTAAAATATAATGAAGTTCAATCACAGTAAATATCTTACATTCCTGAAAGTCCTGGTAAAAGTCCCCAGGCAGCAAGCTCCCACGTCGTGGAACCTCTGCACTTGGATATTAGGGGCTCAAGTGCAACAAAAAACACTGGGCAAACCACCAAGGGTTTTACCTTTTTCACTGACTTCTAACCCAACATTTCAAAACAGCCCCCAGCCTTTTTATCATTCTAACACGTCAAGGATTCTGGCTTCTCTAGGGCCAGAAAGAACCTGCTGTCACCTGGGCTGCTTCAACTATTCAACTTTGCTGTTGTGTGAAACAGCCTTGATAGACAACCTGAGCGGGCTGTGCTCTAGGACTTCACATAGCACAGTGGCCAGAGGTGACTTACAGGGGTCTGCTGCCCCTGCCATAAAAGATGACCCTGTCAAGAGTCCTTTCTCATGTGCCTTGAGCTCCTGGCTCTGAGGAAGAAACAGGTGGTAGAGAAAATTTCCAAGTATCTCATTAAAAAAAAAGTTTTATTTATTATTTTTATTTTATGTGTATGAATGCATTCCCTGCATGTATGTAAGTGCACCCATGTCATGCAATGCCTGTGGAGCTCAGAAGAGGGCCTCAGATTCCCTGGAACTGGAGTTACAGACAGTTGTTAGCTGCCATGTGGAGGGCTAGGGATTGAACCCAGTTCCTGTGCAAGAGCAGCCAGTGCTCTTAACCACAGAGTCATCTCTCCAGCCGCACCAAGCATCTCATTTAAAGGGAGAACTTTGGAGAATAGGCACAAGGCCCTTTCAAAGGAGGGACTTTGGGGCAAAGCTCTTAGGACTGCTGTGCCAGCATAATCAATCAGTCCTCTCTCTCCACTGTGATTCTCTCTTTGTGGAGAACTCTGGTTCTGAGCACTTTCCTTTCACTAGGAGAACCTGCTGTGGAGTGACCCTAGGGCTGCCTAGAGAGGGCCGGGACTAGGGATCTGGGTTTTCAGACAGGAGGAGATAGCAGGTGAGTAGACACAGGTGGCCACAGAGCAGTTGCCTGCTTCTCTGTAGCCATGAAGGAGCTGGGATAGGAGGGAATGCTTTTGCAGGAGGACATCATATGCAAAGCTGATCCATACGTGGCTGTGAGATGCAAAACCAACCTGTGCTAGAAAGATGCTAGAGAAACAGCTTTTCATGTGTGATGCCTGGACAAAGCTCTCCAAAGCTTCCTAAGTATCCACTCCACTCTCCAGGGGCCAAAGCAGGAGGCAAAAAATTAAAGGCAACAAATACTCTTGGGACATTCTCAGTCATTCAGGATGTTCCTGAGACGCCAGGGGGTGGGACTGGCAGGTCTTGAAATTACCAGGAAGACATGGTGACCGAGAGTGAAGAGGAGGCAGGGCCGGTGCATCTCTTGGCGTCCAGGGCCAGCTGGTCTGGCCTGCCTTTTCTCTCTCTCCCTCCCGTCAGCACTGCCAAATTTTGCAGCTTGCCTGCCCTATTCTTCACTCAAACCCTAATAAAATTGTCTTCCAGCTAAAAAAAACAGAGGAAAAAAGAAGCAATGGCCCTCAGTTTGGATGACGAGCTTTATCATCACCACCATCTTCATGCCTCTTTGAGTAACAATTTCACAAACAAAAAGATTTTTTTTTTTTAGTGACTTAAAATTTTTAATTTTTTAGGGCCGGGCATGGTGGTGCACACCTTTAATCCCAGCACTTGGGAGGCAGAGGCACGCAGATCTTTGTGAGTTTGAGGCCAGCCTGGTCTACATAGTGAGTTCCAGGACAGCTGGGGTAGCTGGGGCTACAGGGAGACCCTGTCTGAAAGACAAAAAAAAAATTATTTTATGTATATGAGTGTATTGCCTGCATGTATGTAAGTGTACCCTTGTTATGCAGCGCCTGCCAAGGTCAGAAGAGGGTGTCAGATCCCCTGGAACTGCAGTAAGAAAGGGTGTTAGCTGCCATGTCTGGGAATCAAACCTGGGTCCTATGTAAGAACAGCCAGTGCTCTTCACCTCTGAACCGTCTCTCCAGCCCCATAATTCGGTGACTTTTGATAGCAAGCCAAAGAAACATAGAACCAGACCTGCCCACCTTTGTAAGAAAGTTACCAGCCATGCACTGTTTGTGACTACAGTTTTATTCTTTGTGTCCTTCTGTCCCCAGTACATATTTAAACCTGGAGTCCTCTGCGTCACAGTCCTCTGCTGCTCCAGTGCTTCCCAAGTGGTGTCAGGGCTCATGACTTTCGCCAGCGCTGCAGCTCTTTGGACAGACAGAGAGAAATGTAAGGACTGGAGAGGACATGTCTACTGACTTTCTATGTTTTGCCTCTACAGAGCATTTTGGATATTTTTATTTCATAAATTTAGAAATAGTCTTGGTCTTAAGGAGGAGTTTCTGTTTCACATTCTTCAATCTGGATTTAAGAGATGAAGAAAATTTGTCAAAGCCAGGCCTCTAATCCCAACAGCATTCCAGAGGCAGAAGCAGTTCAAGATTAACCTGAGCTAGAGGCTGTGTCTCAAAACAACACAACAAAAATCATTATCCACTACCACGAGTAGGTAACAAATACTCCATCCTCCCCTGGCTGGTCTGGCTTTAAGGAAGCATTTTCCTCAGGAAGACAGGATCCTGCTTTGGGGCCTCTTTATGCTGTGATTCCCATTTTTGGTGAATGGTCAAGTGCCCGATACAGAGACTAGTGCCTGTGCCAGGCCCCTCAGCAGGCAGGGGCGTCCTGGCCATCACCTGCCTTCCCCAAGCCAATACACTGAGAGCTTCCATGTGAAAGACCCCAGGCTGTTTTATTTTCCTTTATATTATGGGAACATACTGAATTTCTTTTGGCAGCCTCCTATGAACTCTAAGTTTTTCTGCTTTTTTTTGGTCTTTTTGAGACAGGGTCTCCCTGTAGCCCCAGCTGTCCTTGAACTCACTATGTAGACCAGGCTGGCCTTGAACTCACAGAGAGCGACCTGCCTGTGCTTCCCAAATGCTGGGATTAAAGGCATGGGCCACCACACCCGGAAGAATCTGTCTTTATATGACTCAAATGAATAAAAGTTATCTTCAATTGAAGGAAAATCAATTTGGGCATTTTCCTTTTGGTTAAGACTTGGTGTAACAGACAACTAAAAGCAGAATAAAGAATTAAGAGGTTCTGTCTCTTAAAGCAGGTTACTTTTCAGTTAAAAAAAAGACTTGGTTGGTGTAAGCTGAATTTTTGTTAGGGTTCTTTTAAAATATTTTTTATGTGTATGAGTATATTGCCTGTGTGTAAGTGCACCTGTGTTGTGCAATGCCAGCAGAGGTCAGAAGACAGCACTGGACACCCTGGAACTGGAGTTACAGATGGTTGTTAGCTGGGAACTGAACTTGGGTCCTCTGCAAGAGCAGTAAGCGCTCTTAACCTCTGAGCCATCTCTCCAGGCTCTGTTTCTTAGCTTTCTTGAGACAGGGTGTCATGTATCATATACATGTAACCCAAGCAGGGCCTGAATTCACCACCCTCCTGCCTCAGCCTCTTGAGTGCTGGGATTCTCTAATGCACCATGTCTGGCTCAGGGAGTTTTTTTTTTTTTTTTTTTTTTAAATATAACCAGACTCACTGGGCGTGGTGGCTCATGCCTTTAATCCCAGCACTTGGGAGGCAGATGCAGGTGAATCTCTGTGAGTTCAAGGCCAGCGTGGTCTACATAGCAAGTTCCAGGCCAGCTGGGGCTACAGGGAAGCCCTGCTTCAAAAAGACCAAAAACAAAAGATAGCCAGACTCTATCCAGGTATAATCCCATGACTCGGAAGCTGAGGCCCAGAACTGAGAGCTCAAGGCCAGCTTGGGCTATATAATGAGACCCTATTTCAAACAAAATGTAGCCGGGCCCTGTGGTACGTTGTTTTTAAATCCAGCTATTTGGGAAGCTAGGGCAGGAAGACTGATTTCAAGTCTAACTTAGCCTACAGAGTGAGACCCAGTTTTCAGAAAAAAAAATGTTGCTAAGTCTTAAGCACATGGAATGTTCTGTTTCTCTTGTGGCAGAGAGCAGTCCTGTTCCACTGTGAAAAAAGGTGTTCTCTTGGGTATGGCAAGAAGATTCAGGAGTTCAGAGGATCCAGGTTCAGTTCCTAGCACCCACATGGTGGCTAGCAACCATCTGTTAACTCCAATTCTAGGGGATTCAACTTCCTCTTCTGGCCTCCACAGTCATTGCAGGCACGTGGTGCACTTACATACACGCAGGCAAAACACTCATAAAATAATAGACAATAGTAATGGGGGTGGGGGGAGGTGAGGGCAATTATGCACAGTTAGTTCTGTCCACTCATAAAAGCCATCATAACAAAGCGACTGAGCCCCCAGAAATAGCTTGCTCATTATAGTATGTCAGACACCACAACACTGAAGTGCAAAAGCTCACTGGGAGACTCCCCAGCACTGGGAGGGGATGTGACCTGTCATTTGGCTACAAATTAAAACAGCTTACTCAGATGCCTGAAACTCCAGTTCCAACACAGGATGAAGTATCCCGCGAAGAGCATCGAGAGGCTCCTGACTCCGCTCTTCTTGATGGTAGTGTTGCACCGCATCCAGCCTGCTCAGAGACAGATGGAGCTGTTACAACAGCCAGACTGGGCCATCCAGTGTGCACTATTCAAGCTAGCCCTTAGCAGGGCAATAAACTTTAATTCAGAGAACTTACATACATGCATCTAAAATATATGTCCATAAACAGACGACAGGGCCAAGCTGAGGAAGACTTAAAAATTCAAATGACCTGTTTTCATATTGGAGCTGGGTTAGAGTCTGTAGTCATGCAGAGATGAATGTGATTGGTTAACTGAAGTTTAGCATTGCCTTGGCTGGTCACTGTGGGTAGGAGACTGTTGGGGACAGGTGGCAGGGGTAGGTTTTAAAAAGTGAAAGCTGGGGCCTGGTGTGGTGGTGCACACATTTAATCCAAGCACTCCGGAGGCAGAGGCAGGAGGATCTCTGTGAGTTCAAGGCCAGCCTGGTCTATATAGTGAGTTCCAGGTCAGCTGGGGCTACTGGGTGGAGAGATGGCTCAGAGGTTAAGAGCACCTGCTGCTCTTATAGAGGACTCAGGTCCAGCTCCCAGCATCCACCTGGTACACATAACTGCCTGTAACTCTAGCTCCAGGGGACCTGCTGCCCTCTTGTGGCTTCCAGAGGTTCGCGCATGTGCGCGCGCGCACACACACACACACACACACACACACACACACACACACCCTCCAGACAGAGAGAAGCGCCCTCTTGTGGCTTCCAGAGGTGCGCGCACACACACACACACACACACACACACACACACACACACACACGCTCATACAAATTTTAAAAAGTGGAAGCTATTCAATGAACAGTAGCTACTGCCCTATTAGCTTCAGTGTTTTATGACTCCAAAATGAAAGCAAACAAAATATGTCAACTGTCCCTTGTCTCTGTCCCTTCGCTTTCCTTGAACAGCCAAGAAACTTCTCCAAATGCCTGGAGCCAGCAAGAAAACCCAGCAGTCAGAAACCCCAGCCTCACCTTTGTGCACAGCTCCCAAGAGCCTCACTACAGGGAAGGTGGAAGCTGTAAGCCTCATCCAGGCTCTGGACTCCTGCCATCAGTCAAACGTCTTTCCAACCAAGGAACGGTGGTTCCAAACAGAAGTCACTGTGACAGGTCATCGAAATTCACCCCTTCCCCAGCAGGTAATGCCATATATTTTTAGGACTAGGCCTCAGGAAAAGCATGCTCCCAACTGGTGGGTCACTGTCTTCACACTGGATTGCAGCTAACTGGTTACACAATGAAAGTGATCCTCAGGTAGAAAGCTCTTACTGATCCTTGCACCGTGATGAATATACCACCTGTGTACTCTATGTGCATATGCATGACCAGATAAAATTTTATCATCTGCTAAAATTTTAGCAAAAAGCATGACTTTCTACTAGAGGTTGAGCATCCTTACCCGAAATGCTTAGGACCAAAAGTTTCAAATTTTGGGTTAAAAAAATTAGGAATATCTGCATACGTATAATGAGATATCTTGGGCATGAAACAAAGATCTAAATACAAAATTCCCTCTTTTCCGTGTGGGTGTGCTAGAGCTTGAACCCAGGGTCTTGTACATGCTAAAAAGCAGCCTGCTACTACTGAGCTGCACTGATAGCTCTACAGTTAATTTCTGCTTCAGACAAACCATAACAACAGCTTGAAGATAATTTTATATAACAGCATGCCTATAATCCACCCTGTGAGACCAGGCTTGGGATCATCTACTCCCAAGACGGCTGGTACTCAGTCCTGATACCTCACAGAGATCCACTTGCCTCGTGAGTCCTGGGATCAAAGGCATGTGCCACCATGCCTGGAAAGCACTTTGAATTTTGAGCTCAGGGATGCTCAGTCTGCATTACAAATAACTCCTGCTTCCTGTCACAGCTATCTATACTCAGCCTGTCTGTTCTGTGACTGCACTGCTATGCTGGGCTAACAAACTTTCCTGTTTATACTCACACATGAATGACTTAAGTAGAGCCAGAAAAGAAGACAAGTATTTCTTATTCACATCTTTCCTGCACTGGTTTCTCTCCACTTTTACGCCAGGCAGGTAATCGGTACTACTTACAACGGTTTTCTGGTCTCAATTTGGTTTGTCGGGAGAAAGGCTAAATTAAACAAAAATGTGGTTGGCAGGTGGGTAAAAGTGGCTGTTGATATACAAATGCTCAAATGATCATATAACAATGAAAATAACGTGTTGGCTTCCAAGACATTATACAGAGCATTCTCTTGCTAGGTGAATGTTAAGTCTCTTAAAAACAAATCATGAAGGCTGGAGACGTAGTTCAACTCAAAATACAAAGCCCAAGCTCATGAAAACTGACTGTGGAGCCATGTTCTCAGCAGTGTAGGGAACTGTGTGGCCTTGGCCTTGTTTTATTTACTTCCAGGTATAGGACCATGGGAACTTACAGGAAGGAAACCTGTTCTGGCCCCAAGCTGGGATCATGTCAGCAGCACAGGAGCACCACAGGCCTGCAGTAGCTGATTTCCTGGCTACCACTCGGGCATGCTGGGTCCTTCTCCCTCACACCCTCACCATCGCCGGGTCCTTCTCCCCGACACCCTCACCATCGCCGGGTCCTTCTCCCCGACACCCTCACCATCGCTGGGTCCTCTCTCTCACACCCTCACCATCGCTGGGTCCTTCTCCCTCACATCCTTATCCACCCCATTTCTAACAGCCTTGCCTCTTCCCAAATGAGAAGGAGAAACTCAACTCCTGCCGAGATCACCAGCCTGCCCTAGTTCACTTTCAACTCTTGTTCGAGGAAAAGGGAGAGTGACAGGCTGTAACCACTGATCCTGGAGCAAGTTCTGCCTCCACAACTGAGTCCAATGGATGGGTCTGTGTGGGTAAAAATAAGTTAACTGAATGAAAAAAGGAGTAATTCTGACCCTTTATTTAAAAGGCACAGGGCATTCTGGGTTGGCCGGAGGGCTCTGGAAAATGAGCTAATTTACCTTGTGATACGCTCCCACCCTGGGAAGTGGCAAGCAGAGGCATCTGGGTCACTGAGTTCCAATGCAGAGACCTTCTTGGCAGTACCCCAAGTCCAACATAACCAGGGTAGAGCTCTGGAAACCACTCCAGTCCCACTGGGGTGGGAAGGGCCTTTGAGTCAGCAGCAACGTGACTGACGAGGGAGCCTGTGGAGACGGGATGCTGTGCTGAATATGACTCTGTGTGGTACCCGGTCTTCAGGGCTTGATGTTGGCAGGCAGATTTTGGTTCCGGAAGAGCTTTTTCCTTACTCTCCACTAAGAGTGTCACAGCAGGGACTTGATGATGACCGCAGAATTGGGCTCTCTCTTCTTGAAGAGGTTTCAAAGTCAGAGAGGCGAGACTCTGAGTACCTGACTCTGCCGCAGAGAGCAACGTACCGCAAGCTGCCTCGGGTGGAGTGGACAGAGTCCAGAGTGGCTCTTCCTCCTGTGGTCCTGCCTTCATGGCTGCACCGCCAGTCCTGGAGTTCTTCTCAGCAGGGATCACGGATGCCAAGTCCTGTCTCCCTGTTGGAGACACGCTCTTCTCAGCACTTCTCTTGCTCCCAAACAACTTTCCTCCAAGCTCCTTTTCCTGATGCCCCTTGTCTTGCACTTTCCCCAGCAGGCCAGTGTGAAGGCCTAAAACAAGCGAGTCTGAGGTCTTGTCCGGAGTTGCAGTGTGTCCAAGGTTGGGAGAGACTCCTGTGGAGCTGCTCTCCTTGCTCAACACTGACGGGAGTCTTACCCTTTGAACCCCACTGCTGAGGGCCTTTGGAGACTGATTATTATTAGTAGGCACATCCAACAATTTTACCAGAGGCCCCTGTCTTTGGGGATCAATTGTGTCCAATTTCAGATTTATGGAAGTGGCTGGTTTTTCATTAAGCAAAACTGAGGAATATTTCCTATCTTGATTAGACAAACGCTGTTCCATTGAGCCAACCAGTAAAGGTGCTTCCATTTCTGAAAGATCACATGGACTCTCTCTTGACTCACACCCACCTTTGGCAAGGTCTCTTCTGGGAGAGGAGGCATCTGACACACAAGACTGAGCCGTTCTTACTCTCTGCAAAGTAATCTTTGGTTCAGTGTGTTTTAACACTTGGAAGGAAAGCTGATTTTGATCCCTGATTTCTGTTCCTGCCTTTGTGGTATCTGCTTTTTTCAAGCAAACCACTCGTAGTGGAAAGGATGTGGCTGTCCCTTCTGGTCTGTCGCTTATCCTTTTGGTATTACTCTTCTCAGTCTTTGTCTCTAGTGCTCTCCTGTCAGCTTTAGTCACGACTCTGGGAGGCCCCGTTTCCTTTTTAGCATGTGAAAGTGTAGCTGGCTTGGACAGATGAACTTGTTGGTCAGCAGATATGGTTGGCCTTATCATCTTACAGTATGGCAAGTGGGATTTTAATCGCTTAAACGGTTTCTTACAATATGGGCACACCTCCATTCTGGACCCAGCATCACTCATCCTGTCCCTGAAAGGAAAATGGGAATTAATGAGAAGTACACAAGAGTAAGCATCGACATTTTATGTAAGAGTTCTACCTCCTTTGTTCATTTTCTTAAGATAGGCGCTCTTGCTGGGTGTGGTGCAGTGAGTTCCAGGCCAGTTGGGCCTACCTGGAGACCCTGTCTCAAAACACAACAAAAACAAAAAAGACTCTCCTGAGTAAGCCCAGTCTGGCCTTGAAATCCTGATCCTCCCCCCAGGTGCTGGGATTATAGGCATGTGCCACCATGCCCAGCTGTTTTATCCTTTAAATGTATTTGGAGGCTGTATTTCAAGGCCATTCTTGTCTACATAGTCAGTTCCAGGCCAGCCAGGGCTACAAGTGAGACTCTACCTCAAAAATAAATAAGCCGGCATGATGGCCCAGGCCTTTAATCCCAGTATTTGGGTGAGGTAGAGGCAGGTGGATCTCTATGAGTTCCAGGCCAGCCTGGTCTGCATGGTGAGTTCCAGGCCAGCTGGGGCTACCAGGAGACCCTGTCTCAGAAAGACCAAAAAACCAATTGCATTTGGAACAATCTAGAGGTTAAAGGGACCAACGGAGAAAACACAGATGTGTTTTACACTTCTTCCAGGCGGCTAGAAACAAATCACATAAAAGATAACACGTTTTCAATATCCTAAAAAGGATGAACAAGACCCAAAGACTTCTGTGTAAGTGACTAAATGAATGCTCGGTCAAATGAAATGATGTCCAGAGTATCAGCCAGAATTCAGTTTGCTAGTTACTGAATGGTACACGGTGGATGGTACATGAGTGTGACGAAACTGTTTAACCCTATGAAGGAAACTAATGGGCTGGAGAGATGGCTCAGTGGTTAAGAGCACTTGTGGCTCTTGCAGAGGACATAGGTTTGGTTCCAAGGAATCTGATGGCCTCTTTGGAACCTCCATGGGTGCTGTACATACGTGGTACACTTACATACATGAGGACAAAACACTCATACACATAAAAATAAACTGGAGCTGGAGAGGTGGCTCAGCAGTTAAGAGCATTGACTGCTCTCTGCAGAGGCTCCGTGTTCTATTCCTAGCACCCACAGGGCGGCTAACAACTGTCTGGAACTCCAGTTCTGGGGGATCTGGTGCCCTCTTCTGGTCTCTATACACACGTGGTACACTTATATACATGCACTTATACACACAAAAAATAAATTTTAAGCTGGCGCACACCTTTAATCCTAGCACTTGGGAGGTAGAGGGAGGCAGATCTCTGGGAGTTGGAGGCCAGCCTGGTCTACAAAGTGAGTTCTAGGCCAGATGGGACTACAGGGAGACCCTGTCTCAAAAACACCTAAAAAAAAAAAAAAAAAAAATTAAATCCAAAAAATTCAAAACTTCCAAAAGCAAACAAAGGAACTATTCAAGATTCCTCCCTTGGAGCTTCTCTTTCTCATTTTGACTTAAACAATCTACATTCACTCTTTTAATTATTTATTTTTTGGTCTTTTTGAGACAGGATCTCCCTGTAGCCCTAGCTGGCCTGGAACTCACTATGTAGACCAGGCTGGCCTTGAACTCACAGAGATCCACCTGCCTCTGACTCCCAAGTGCCAGGATTAAAGGCGTGTGCCACGACACCCAGCTACATTCACTCTTCTTGTATCTGTCATTTAAGAATGACACATTTGGGCTGGGTTTGAAGATTTCTGATTAGAGCAGAGTTTCTGAAGTGACAGACACAAGATCCACTGGGGTGTAAGGGCTTATTAGGACTCTCATTATCACCTGGGGAATGTAGCTGAGTCAGTAGAGTGGTTGCCTAGCAAGCACCAAGCTCTAGGTTCCATCCCCAGAAACCCATAAAATCCTAGCACTTGGGAGGTACAGGCAGGAGGATCAGGAATTCAAGATCATGCATGGCTACAAAGCAAGATGGAGGCTAGCCTGGGATTCATGAGATCTTCTTTCAAAGAGTTCCCGTAACCCAAGCCTGATATTAAGCTCTACTACTGCTTATCATTTATGTAAAATAACATGATGTAGAAATTTATACACAAAAGGACATGGTCTCCAAATTTTTAGTTGTCACTTGTAGTATAAGTGACTAAATCCCTACCAAGCAAACAGGCTCACTGAGAAGTAATAAAGTTGGCACACTTCCTGTTTCTTGGTCTGGCAGGAAGGCCTTATTTTTTATTCCAATAGGGCCCTGTCAACTGACCCACTTAGAGTCCCATAGCCCTGGACATAAACTCAGCTTGGAGATGTGACCAATCAGCCTTAAAGTTGACCAATACTAAATTAGGGGAGGGGAAACCACTAGACCTTTAACACCCAGGCCCTCCCCAGCTTTTGAATCCCCCTCTTCACTTGTGGAGAGCTTTGTTCCTCTGTGAGGAACTTTCAATGAAAGTTTACTTCTTGTTCTCTGCTAGTCAGATTTTTTTTGTCTTTTAATTCTTTAACTGCCTAAGAAAATGCACCCAATCTTACCCCTAGACTAATAAGGTGACCAGAGCAGCAGGACAATTAATAACCAATCCATTTGTCTATTTTGACTTTTTTTGAGACAAAGTCTTACGATGTATATGAGGCTAGCCTGGCGGGCCTCTGCCTCCTGAGTGCGGGGGTTAAAGGCGTGCATTAGCATGCCTGGCTAGTTTGACATTTTTTGTAAAATGTGTACTATGTAAATGCTAACAACTCTTAACTCCAGTTTCAGAGGATTGGACGCCCTCTTCCGGTCTCCATGGGCATTGCATGATGTGGGTGCACTTACATACTTGCAAGCAAAAACATAAACAAGGCCAGCCTAGTCTACATAGTGAGTTCCAGGCCAGGTGGGGCTACAAGGAAACCCTGTCTCAAAAAGAGCAAAAAACAAAATAAAACCCCCAAACCCTCTTAATGCTGAGCCTGGTGTACAACATTGATTAGATAAATATGTATATTGTAGTAATTTACTACTGTGACTGAAAAAAATCTTTTGGTCTAAATAGATAAGCTGACTTTGAAATTACTTACAAAATAAATGTCTATCAAAGCAAACAATCCACCTTGCCCTACACGAAATGCAAAACCAATCTGTTTCCTAACAACAGTGACTATTCTTTTTTTTTTTTTTTTTTTCCGTCTTTTTGAGACAGGGTTGCTCCCTGATGTAACCCCAGCTGGCCTGGCGCTCGCTGGGTCTAAAGGGGTGCGCCACCAAGCCAGGCAACAGTGACTATTTTTACTATTTACAAGAACACAGCAACAGGTCATTTATTTACAAAACACGTGCAACTAAAGCCAATCAACGGGTTTCCCATTGGTAACAATACCTCACCTCACACTTAACCCTACTGGAAGGCTTCTGGACATTTACACAGTACATGTTAATATAGGGTCTGTCGTCCAGTCCGACCTCTCCTAGGACGATGCTTATTTTGTGGTCCCTCCCAGATCCTCATGCTTGCGGATCACTGTTCAAGAGTTTGGCGGAAACTCTGAATGTCGCCTGTGACGGGGCCACAGGTAAGTGGGGAGGTTACTATGTGGCACTTACTAAGTTGTACGATGTGTACGATGTGGCACAGTACTGAGCCAACACTGAGTTATGTCCCTGGCAGGTAACCGGAGATTTTTCTGGAAACCGGAGTTACGACTTCACTAAGTCTTCCGGGCCCGGGTCACACGTCTTCGCTTTTTTCTTTTTTTAAACTTAACAAGGGCTCATGTAGCCCCGGCTGGCTTTGAACTCGCCACGTAGCCAAGCTCTTTGAACTTCTAATCCAGGCCTCCCGGGGCTAGGATGACAGACGCCCGCCACCCCCGCCAGCAGGGACCCTCGGTCCCCGGCGGCGCTCACCTGCCCGCAGGCAGCACGGCGTTCCCACGGCCGCACTCCCACCCACACCTTCCCTTTGCCCCACAGGCTCTTCCGGCAGCGGGGCGGGACCCCGTTAGTCCCTCCGCCGGGTGCGCACGCCTCTCCAGGGCTAGAACCGAGATCGTGGAAAACAGCCGCCCTTAGTTACTCCACAGAACAGGGGCCGCACCTCTGCAGAAGCGGAATTCCAGCTGGCGCCTACTTCGAACCCCTGGAGCCCCCCAGCACCAGGCTAACCGCGTCACTGCCTGATGGCGTTCGCCCGGTTCTTTACAGTTATCACCGCAGAGAGAGCCAAAACAAGCACAAGTACCAATGACTGCCACATAATTTATTTTATTTTAGATCTGGCTTGACTTTTACACCGTGTCGCCACTTGATTTTGAGCAGGCGAACACCTCGGCCACCCATACAGAGGTCCTGGCAGCTCCCAGACGCACCTCCTTCCCTGGAACCGCCTCTTCCGGAGGGCGGGGCCGCGCCGCTGCGCAGCCGCAGGAGGGCAGTACCACGGCGCCTGCGACAAGGGGGGGCGCGGAGAGGACGCCGGAAGTAGCAGTGGTACGGGTCGGACCACGGGGTACTCAGCGTCCGCGGCCTCCACCCGCGAGGCGGCCCGAACCAAGACCCAAGGGGGTGGGCGTGGCTGTCGCCGGAACAACCTTCCTCTGCTAGCAGTCGGCGCGGGGCGGTGCCGCGTCGCTCCTCTCCGCCAGCTGCCATGAGCGAGCGCCTCCGCCCCAGGTGAGAGAAGGACCCACTTCCTCTCCGGCCCCTCGCCCGACGACCCGCGGGATGGAGCCGAGGGTCGCGGGAAGCCCGGGTCGGGCTGTGCGAGGCTCTGTCTGTGCTGCTCGGCGATCAGAGGCGGGGAGAGGGATGCGCGGGAGACCTGACACTCGGACCCCTTGGGTAGCCCGAGGTTACTGGGGTCCAAGTATACTCCCTAACGTCTTTTTCTTTCCTTCTCCGGCTTCTTGGAATGAAGTTTGTTCGTCCTAGCCGAGAGGGTGCCCCCCCCCCCAGCTCCCCTGTCCTAAATTTAGGTGGCTGGGGGCGGTGAGGAATGGCCGATCTTGGAGAGGCAGCCCCCTTCTTGAGGCGCCAGGAGGGCCGTGGGGCGGGGAGCTGCTGGGGCCCCTAGGTCAGGACGGAGGGGGTTGGGCTTCACCGTGCAGCTGGGAGGGCTTAGGGCAGACCGCGGCGCTGCCCTGATCTGTTGTAAGCCCAGCAGGGCAGATGGACTCAGACGGTCGTGACCCACTTGCGCTGTCGCAGTAACAGGCAGGATTCTAAACTGTTTGGACCGAGGAGCCGTTTGACTGAAGGCGGGAGGTGGGATAAGTTGAGGTGTGACTATTACCGGCCTCCGAGCCCAGGCCTTTTCGTAGGACTTTAGTCTGGATCAAGCTGGATTTCTTTTTCTCCATCTCATTTTCCTTGTCTAGAAGGTGGGAAGAAGGAAGTTTGCATGCTCTATCCCAAAGTGAAGAGAACTAGTTTTATCTCAGATTAGAAAAAGCCCTTACCCAGGAACTTGAAGACCTGTAGGTCACCAACTTCTCCTTTGCCGTTTTTCTGATGAAACACACTTGAGTTTGACCCGTTCACTCCTGTATTCCATAGTGGCCCCAAGCTTAGGTAAGGTAGATCATAGCTTATACTCGGGATCTTATACGTCTTGTTGATTGGTTGCGAATGTAATCTTTTTCAAGGTCTGTTTTCCAAAACATAATTATTTCGTGGGATTCAAGGTCTCCAAAGCATCCTGAGGTTATTCGGTACAGTAGTGAAAATTTGGAGGTCCCTAGACTGAATTGGAATATTGATCTGGGTCACATAGCAGTTGAGGCAGAGAAGCCTGTACTTGTGCAGGAAAGAAAAGGGAACTAAATCTGAAATTATAAGGTGCCTGCCAAAATTATAATAAGTGCCAAAGGTTTAATCTTACTGTATACAGATATCTTGAGCTACTAATCTTGCCAATTATTAAAGACTGTTGAGAGGTTTGAATCAGGCCAATCTGAAATTGTGGCCCAGTTACAGTCATGCCATTAGTATTAGGATTGGGACCTTCAGACACAGTAAGCCTGAGCTCACTGCCATTTTTTGGTTTTAAGACACAGTTTGTACTTTGGCTATTTTCTTGGAGTGTCTCACTTACCTGAAAGAGTCTTAAGTATTTTCTACCAAGAGCAGATTCCTGTTACTTTTATCCAATACTGTACACAAATAATCTGTGTTTGTACTGATAGCAGATTCCTTTTATCTAGTACATACACAAATCTGGACATGTTTGTAACTTCTGGTGTCTTCTTAAAGAAGCTGTTTGATGTGGACAGACTTTCCCTGCCCTCTCTTGTGAGCTAGCTCTGCCAAGTCAGTTCATGTCTCTGAATCTGGCTCCTCAGTCTCAAGATGAAGGGCTCATCTAAGATGGTGTTTTTTTCAGACTATATCCTGGTAGACCATGAAGGCTGTAGAGGGGTGTGTGGTAACGGTGTCTGCTTTATTTTTTTATGGGTTGAAGAAGAACCTCTACTAAGAATTGAGTTTTTTTTTTTTTTTTTTTTTTTTGAGACATGGTCTCCCTGTAGCATAGCCCCAGCTGTCCTGGAACTCACTATGTAGACCAGGCTGGCCTTGAACTTACAGAGATCCACCTGCCTCTGCCTCCCGAGTGCTGGGATTAAAGGCGTGCACCACCACTCCCTGCATCTTTTACTTTTTAAAAAAACATTTGAGGACTGGAGAGATGATGGCTCAGTAGTGAAGAGCACTGGCTGCTCTTGCAGAGGACCCGGGTTCGATTCCCAGCACCCTCATGGAAGCTAACACTCATCCGTAACTCTAGTTCCAGGGGAATCCGACGCCCTCTTCTGAGCTCTCTGGGCATTGCACAACACTGGTGTACCTACCTACATGCAGGCAATACATTCAAAATAATAATAAATAAAATATTAAGAAAGAAAAACATTTGAGCCAGGTGTCCTGGGCATAGTGGCCTTTAATCCCAGCCCATAGGAGGCAGATGTAAGTAGATCTCTGAATTACAGGTCAGTCTGGTCTACATAGCAAGTTCCAGGGCAATGCTAAATAGTGAGACCATGTCTTTAAATAAATAATTTCTATACTTTTAAGATGACATTTATGTAGGTTCTAGATGTCTGTGAAGGTAGGATAGTAATGAAATATGAAAAGTACCATCCTTGAGAGTAACAGATGCCCAGCAGTTATGTGAACCTGGGTGGAGAGGGAAGAATCTAATCAATTACTAGGTGCTTGCCAAAGTTATAACCTGGCTATGGCATAAATGCTGGGCTCACCTCACTAACCAGTACATGCAGAAAAGGCAGGTGAACGAGCTCTGCCTGACCCTGTACCAACCCTGGGCGTCAGCATCCCTTCAAGCTGCTTTATGGCAGTACTAATGCTGATAATGTGAGGTGGAATGATCAGGACCCAGGAACAGTGCCAGTTACTAACAAGATCACTGAAACCTGGATGTTTCAAGGATGGCATCTAGAAAACCCAGGAAGGAGAATGAAGACTAGGTAGAGTTGATTCTAATTCGTTACCATCCAAAGGAAAGGGCCATCCAGAGGCCTGAGAGGAGGTAAACTGACAATAGAAGACAGGGATGTTTTCTGTGGCTTTCCCAGGGGCTAGTTGAAATCTATGGAACCACTTCATGTTTCTTGGGGTTTTCCTGCCATGCTTTCCCCTTGATATTCTTGTTACCGGATAGAAAAATGCTCCATTACAGAGGAGGAAATGACAAACTTTGGTCAGGCTTTTAAGTTCGGTGAGAGTGACTCAGCAGCCCCAGGCATCATCAGCTGTTGGCGTACTGATAAAGTGAGAGTTTGGGAGCCAGTCTTCCCCCACCCTGAGTACCTCTTTGAGTGTCTCTGGCTCCCAGCAGACATTGCTTTACATGTAAATTATCTGTTAGTATTAGGGCAAAAGCTGAAGCTTCTTTCTTAGTTCAAGTTATAATAGCATACCCACCTAACAGTTAATTAAAACCTGGTGTATAAAGGGGTGCAGCTCAGTAGAGCACTTACCTAGCATGTACAAGACCCTGGCTTCAATCCTTTGCCACAAAAGAACAGGAAACTATGCCAGAACAAAAACCGGGTATTCATTCATCTTTGTAATCTTCAAGTACTTCAAGGAGGCTGTGCAGGTGCTGTCTGATCTGAGAGAAAGGTAGGAAACAGAAAAAACCTTATTTCACAAATCACTGAGTCAGCACCAGCTGAACACAGTTCTTCCTGCAAGTTCGAGACTTGAACTCAACCCTTAGGATTACAGGCCTGTCGTTACCTCTACTCACATAGAAAGCTCCTAACTCCACAGAAGACTATTTCCTCCAATTTTAAAAACTCTCCCGTGCCTTTTGCTGGATCTACTAGAAAGTTGAACCTCACAGCATTTTCTTTCTTTTTTTTTTTTTCTTTTTGGTCTTTCTGAGACAGGGTCTCCCTGTAGTGTAGCTCCAACTGTCCTGGAACTCACTATGTAGACCAAGCTGGCCTTGAACTCACAGAGATCCACCTGCAAAAGCGTGTACCACCACACCCGGCTCACAGCATTTTCTTTATGATTGATACGCCCTTTGTACATACTGATCTCTAGTCACTGCCACCCAGTAGAACTTTTTTCACTATTTTTTGGTCCTCGATGAATTTTGTTTATTAAAACTTTAAATTACATTTATTTAATATTGTGTATATGTGTGGGCATGCCATGTACCATAGTATTCGTATGGAAGTCAGAGGACAACTTTCTGGAGTCAGTTTTCTTCCCTCCACGGTGTGGGTCTTGAGGTGGAACTCAGGTCTTCAGGCTTAGCAGCAAACACCTTTATCTGATGAGCCATCTTACCAGCCCCCAATCAATTTTATACAGCCACAGAGCTGGGGACTGCTTTCTGAGCAGTCTTCTGTTGCTTGGTGAACATGCAATACAGCTTCATCAGCCTTGAAGCCTAGACTCTGGAGATTCAAGCATATGAAGTAGTCCTAACTGACCACTCCCCACCATGCCACTGATTCATGTAGGGAGTGAGGCTTGAGCAAGAGGAAGCAGCCGTTCTCTTGTTTGCTCTTGAGGGAGGACAGGTGTCAGCATGGAAGCAGTTAAAAGGTTCTTGACCCTGTCCATGAACAGCAGGTCCTTGCACTGTAACGTGAGGTTGTACATTAAGGTGTTGCTGGAAGACTTGGTACATGCCTTTAATCCCAGCACTCTGGAGGCAGAGGCAGGTGGATCTCTGTGGTTGGGCCAGCCTGGCGTACATGAGTTCCAGGCCAGCCAGGGCTACATAGTGAGGTAAAAAAAGGACGCTGCTGGGTTTGCAGACTCCCATGTCTTTCTCCTGGAAAGTGGTGCAGTGGGAGTAGATAGAGTGACAGCAGCTGCAGGACTGGACCATCCTCTGTAGATGTGTCATTCACACTCTTGACATGACTCATGGAGCCTGTGAGGAAGCTGGCCCCGCAGTGCTAAAGGGTGGTGTAGGAATAGCTGGGGAACAGCACCAGGCATATTTTAGAAAGATGGAGTCTGGCACCCTGCATAGTCGAGTATGTTGGTCTTAGTTGAGCATTGTGGCTACAGAGTAGCGTCCAGCACGGTTCTGAGTCTGACAGAGCTGCCATGAAGCAGCTTGAAGGAGGGGCTGCTGGTCAGGTCGGTACAGGGTCAGGCTTGAAGGAGGGGCTGCTGGTGGGGGTTGGTGCTAGTGCACCGCTCATTCACCTGCCTTTTCTGCATGTACTGGTTAGTGAGGTGAGCATGGCGCTAGTCTTTGTGCTGAGTTAAAGCTACATAGAGTGTCTCCAGTAGAACTTTCATAGTGAAGGAGCTATAGTGCTTAGTGTAGTAAGACAGGGCCTCTCTTGCTCTGTAGACTAGACTGACCTGGAATGCAGTATGTAGCTCAGGCTAGCCTCAAACATGCAACAATTCTACCACAGCTTCCTGCGTACTGGGATTATGGGCATGAGCCACCACACTTAGCAGGAACTGAGGGTTTTTTGTTTTGTTTTGTTTTTTAAGTAATTTTGTATCTTTGAGACAGTTGCACTATATGACCCTTTTCAGACTGGTCCTTGTATAGACCAGGCTGGTCTTGCACTTGCATTGATGGCTCCCACCTCTCTTTCCTGAGTGCTGGAATTAGAATTATAGGCCATTGTGGGCAGCAGGACCTAGATTTTATTTACTTTTAAATAGCCACATGATTGGTGGCTGCCATTTAAAATATTTATGAGTGTTTGGCCTGCATATATGTAAGTGCACGATGCGTGTAGGGCTCATGGGGGCCAGAAGAGGGCATTGGATCCCCTGAAACCGGGGTTACATAAGATTGTTAGTTGCCATGTGGGTGCTGAGAACTGAACCCAGGTCCTCCGCAAGAGCAGCCAATGCTTTTAAGCACTGAGCCATCTCTAGCCCCTGGTGGCTGCCATCTTGAGCAGTCTTATTCCAGACAGGTGGTCTTAAAGCTATTTATCTTTAAATTTGTTTCTATTTTCTAGCTGGGGATTAAGAGTCCTTCTCATAGCACTTAATTCTTGTAGCAAGCATAGAGGAGCATTCTTTCTCAGACACTTGAGAGTGCTTGCCTGAGGAAGGTATGTTTTTTCTTTTCAACCTGGAAACTTGAAGCACTTTGTTCCCTGTCTGAAAGCTGCGTCCAGTAAAGCGCAGCACTCACAGTGCCGGTAGTGCAGCCAGAGTGGTCGGGTGATGATGAATGCTGCTTTGTCAGTGACTGCCCAAAAAGGTGCTGCGCTGTCCTGGGCATAGAGCTTCTGTGTAATGTGATAGAGACTCCCGCAGACCTGTGTATTCCTATGTGGCACCCTCTTTATATGGATTTCAGGGCAAGTAGTCAGAGTCGGCCAGTCCCCACTTAAATGTCCCGCGGAAGGGCGTAAAGTTAGGAAATTCAGAATTGTAATTTCAGGGAATGTGGAAAGAAAAACCCTTGGCTGATAGTACAAGCTTAATCATTAACCTCCTCCTGTTACTTTATTCCCAATGGGTGTTTAAAGTTGCCAGGTTCCTTTTAGAAATTAGACTTCCCACTGGAAGCCTGTCCTTGCTGGCACTGTTTTTGCTTAGCACCCAGTGATAGGGTGCTTCCTCTTTTACCCTACTGGCATGTCATGTGGTGAATTAAATTGTTTTGAGGTGAGAGGGTAAGTTTGTATATTGTCATGGTTTATAATTGAAGTCTCTAAAAGGTCAGTTACTGGATTAGTTTTCCTCTGTGTTTAAATTTCAGGAAAAGGAGAAGAAATGGTAATGAAGAAGAGAACCACCTCCCCCCCCAGACCAAAAGGAGCAGTAGAAACCCTGTCTTTCAGGATTCCTGGGACACAGAGGTAGGAAGTGTGCTTGCCTGGTGAGCCAAATACCCAGTCTTTGATGTCATGGAAAGAAGCATGTTTGTTCAAAGACTAACTGATCGTACTTGACTTGACTGCAGTGCTTTCGGCCCTTTTTATTTCTCCACCCCCCTTTGGTTTTGTTTGTCTTTTTGAGACAGGTCTCCCTGTAGCTCCAGCTGGCCTGGAACTTGCTTTGTAGACCAGGCTGCCCTTGAACTCACTTAGATCCACCTGCCTCTGCCTCCAGTGCTGGGGCTAAAGGCGTGGGCCACCACACCCAGCTATTTTTGGTTATTTTGACTAAGTAGTTCTGGTTGGCCTGGAACTCAGTATGTAAACTGGGTTGGCCTCACACTTGTGGCCCCCTCGGCCTCCTTAGTGCTGGGATCATAGTTAGTGCTGCCACACCTGGCCCTTGCTTCTCTTTTGGAGTCATGACCCCTTTGAGGAAGCTAGGTACTTTCCTGTGAAGCAAGCAGTGTGTGTATATTTCTCCCTCCCCCTCCCCCTCCCCCTCCCCCCTCATAGTTTTACAAACCTTTGGAATCCTATCTTTGAACCCCCTGGTTTTGTATTTCAGCAACCAACTTCTGATAGTTTATAAACCTGATTATCCTCAAGATAAAATGTATTCATTGTTAAGTATGCAGTGTATACCCTGTGTGTTTGCAAGATCCTTTTCATAAATGGAATTTTTGCGAATTTCATAGAATATATTTTGATCATATTTAGATTTCCCTCCTATATCTGTACCCTCCGACTACTAAACCCACACCAAATTTCTGTACTCTAATATGCCTATAGAGTCAGGTATGTGTCTCCAAATTGCCATCAATGTGGCTTCATTGACTGGAGCCTGGTCAACTTACCAAGAGTGTCTCACCCTTAAACAAAACTGACTCTTCCCTTCCCAGCATCCATTGGTTGCTAGTAGTTCCTCAGGTAGGGTTGGGGTTTCTTACCCACTTTCCCAAGTCTGTGCTGGAAGCAAGATCCCTTTTAAAAGGGTTTTGCTTTCATGTTCTAGAAAGTTCCTGCCGTGATGGTAGGAAGGATGGAGAGTGGGCAGAGGCAGGGAGCACTCCCAGAGTCTGCAAATTGCTTTCCTGAAAGAGTGCTTTACTCTGGGAAGACTTTGTGTGTGTGCAATTGGAAAGCTGCTATGGAGGGAAAAGGAGCAAAACATTAAGTGATGCTATTGCTAAATTATGCCACCTAAAATTTTTGACCCTTAACAGTTGTCACACCAGTGGAGAAATGCTTCAGTGACAGAGATGCCCAAGGGTTAGCCTCATAGATGACAGCTGGGTTCTTAACACACCAAAATAAATCTCGCAGTATTTGGTTCTCACTAATAGGATTTCACTTTGATCTAGTCTTTGTTTATCAACAATCCACAGTCACTCTCATGTAGGTCAGGACCCCCCCATCAGTGAACAAATTCCATTTAGAATCCACTGAGTGGAGTACTGAATTTTTGTAGCATTTTTCCTCCCTCTAAAAATCTGTTTTTTTAATATTTTATTTATTTTTTATTTTATGTGTATGAGTGTATTGCCTGCATGTATGTGAGTGCACCATGTTGCGCAATGCCGTGGAGGTCAGACGAGGGCATCACATTCCCCTGGAACTGGAGTTAAGGACAGTTCGTAGCCGCCATATGGGTGCTGGGAATTGAACCTGGGTCCTCTGCAAGAGCAATCAGTGCTCCTAACCGCTGAGCCATCTCTCCAGCCCCTAAAAATCTGTTTTATAATGGGCTTGGTGGTGTACGCCTTTAATCCTAGCACTTGGGAGGCCAAGGCAGGCAGGTGTCTGTGTTCGAGCCTGCCTGGTCTACATAGCAAGTTCCAGGCTAGCCAGGGCTACACAGTGAGGCCCTTTTTCAAACAAAACCAAACCTGTTTTTTTTTAAGAGATTAATAGGAAAGTAATTGGGCTTTTGTTTAATGTGCTAAGTGGGATGAAGGAAAACCAAAGACTAGAGGCCGCCATTCGCGTCTCGTGTGGAAAATCCAGCAGCCCCAGCATTTCCTCCATCTGCCCTTGTGGTCTCGATGCCCAAGAACAGGAATTGTCATCCGTTTTTGCCCTTTACTTAAAAATTTGTTTTCTTTAAATTTTTTTTAAATGACTTTTTTTTTCAATATTTTATTAATTATTTTTATTTTATGTGCACAAGTGTATTGCCTGCATGTCTATAAGTGCATCTGTGTCGTACAATGCCCATGGAGGTCAGAAGGTGTTGGATTTCCCTGGAAATGGTAGTGCCTGAAAAACAGATTTCTAACAAAAAAGGTAAAGGGTGGATTGGGGGGTCTACTGTTTTGTTTTTTTTCCTCTGAAACTTTTTTTTCTTGAGACAGGGTCTCCCTGTAGCCCCAGCTGCCCTGGAACTCACTATGTAGACCAGGCTGGCCTCGAACTCACAGAGATCAGTCTGCCTCTGCCTCCCAAGCGCTGGGACTAAAGGCATGTGCCACCACGCCCAGCTCTACCTTGTTTTTATAATTTAAAATTTGTTTCTATTTTATGTGTATGAGTGTATTGCCTGTGTGTGTATAAGAACACCCATGCCATGTAGTGCCCATGGAGCTCAGAAGAGGGTGTGAGATCCCCTGGAGCTGGAGTTAGAGATGGTTGTTAGCTGCCACATGGGTGCTGGGAACTGAATACCAACCAGTGCTCTTAACTGCTGAGCCAACTCTCCATCCCCCTTATTATTATTTAAATAAAAAAAAAATTGTGTGTGTATGTGTGCATGTTGTATATGTGTAGGGACATGTGTGCCACAGGCATGTTTGGACCTTAGAGGGCAGCTCTGTGTAGTGAATTCTTTCCTTCCACCTTTCTTTGGGTTCTGGGATGGAGCTCAGGCTGCCAGATTTGCACAGCAAGTACCTTCACCCACTGAGCCATCTTGCTTGCCCTCCACCTTATTTTTTGAGACAGGATCTCCCTCTGAACCTGGAGCTTGCCAATTTGGCTAGACTGGCTGGCCAGCAAGCCCTCAGGCTCCTCCTGTCTCTACCTCTGCAGTACTGGGATCACAGGTGCACAGTATTGTGCCCAGCTTCTTATGTGGGTACTGGGAATCCAAACTCAGGTCTTCATGTTCGTACAACAGTCACTTGGCCAACTGAGCTATCTCCCCAGTTCCAGGGTACTATATTTTAAATTAAAGTATAATTTGCTAGCTGGGCATGGCAGTGCATGCCTTTAATCCCAGCACTTGGGAGGCAGAGGCAAGCAGATCTTTGTGAGTTCAAGGCCAGCCTGGTTTACATAGTGAGTTCCAGGCCAGCTGGGGCTACAGGAAGACCCTGTCTCAAAAAAAGATAAAAACAAACAAAAAAATAAATTGAGGTATAATTTGCTAGTGTAAGATGATGATGATGATAGTGACAATAGTGACTATGCAGCCCTGGCTGACCTTGAACTCACAGAGATCTACCTGCCTCTGCCTCCCCAGTTGCTGGGTAATATTTAAGACATGTACACCAACACACCTGGCGAGATTAAATTTTTTTAGCCATTATAAATGAATCACAGTAGTTAACACCTAAGTCAGGCTTGATTCTGTCCTTAGTGGCCAGGAAGTGAAATGATTTATTAATTCGTGGCTTCCCTTTGGGTCCTGTATAAAGGCAGCAGTACACTCTTGTTGTGGGTATTTACTGAGATTGGGTCAAACTGGGCCAGATTAGCCTCTCTGGTTCGAATTCCTGTGATCCCAGCAATTGAGAGGCTGAGGCAGAGTAGGATTGCCATGAGTTCAAGACTAGCCAGGACTACATAGTGAGTTCTGGGCCAGCCTGGGTATAGTGTAAGACCCTTTTTCAAAGAAACTTGAGAAAAAACCCCTCAGAGTTCGCTTGGTAGTTGGCCTTACTGGTCTGAGTTGGATCTTATGTGTACAGGGTGCTGCTCTTGGCTTCAGTTTTACTGTCTTTATAAATTACAAGTTCCCATGCAAACTTGCCTTCTGGAACTTAGGTATGTTACTTACAAACACTGCTTCTACTTGAGTAAATAAAAGCGGTTGTCAGCTGCCATGTGGGTGCTGGGAACGGACCAGGTCCTCTGCAAGAACAGCTGGTGCTCTTAGCCTCTGAACCATCTCTCCAGCCCCCGAAAATTAATGTCTTAAAAGATCCATTCAGAGTCCTGTTAGTCTGTTTTAAGAACTCTACTCACAGTGTGTGTCATTGAAATGTGAGCAGTGCCAGGCACCACGTCATCGTGTACCATGCTACTCCCGGCAGTGGAATGGTAATGGCTGTTACAGGAGACACACCTGCGTATCTTTTTCCATCGTGTGGAGATTTAAACAGATGGATTTGTTAGGTAATATTCCATCTAGGACGGAATTTAAGGCAGTAGTGTAAGGGAAGTGGAGGCCCAGGAAGGGGTATGTCGTGTGTTCTCACCTCACGCTGTTTCCTTGCTTACTTAGTCCACAGCATTAACGGGCAGTCTTCGGGGCTCACCAGCATCAAGAGACCTAGAGGAGGTGCACATTATTTTATAGTTAGACACTCTAAGAGACTTGTGTCATGTCGTGTCTCATGTTTCATTCTGATCCTGCAGCCACCATAGAGTGAAAGTAAACTTGATTTTGACTCTAGAGTGAACCCCTCAGGTAGTGCAGCTGGCTTCAAATGCACTGTTTCGGGATGGCTTTGAACTTCTGCTATTTTTGCCTCTGCCTTTCAAGTGCTTGAATTACAGGCATGTGCCACCACGCCCTGGCCCAGTCCTCCACCCCTTTGAGATACGTCTCCATATATAACTGAGGCTGGCCTTGAACCCTTGATCCTTCTGCCTTAGATGTGTGCCATCTGCTGGGCGTGAGAGTAATTTCGGTTCCTGTAAATTGAAAGCATTAAGAATAGAGTCGTGGAGGTGAGGAGAGGCCTGGGCCTGAAAGAAGGTAAAAATGCTTTTTGTGCCGGGCTTGGTGGCGTACACCAAAAATCCCAGCACTTGGGAGG